TACTATTATTGTTATTATTATTGTTATTATTACTATTATTGGTATTATTTTTGTTATTTTTATCATCTTTATCCCCCTCTTTTTTATTAAATTTATTATTCTTAGTTGCCATTTTTAAAAAAAATATTATATATATTATAAATATTAAAAGAGATCATTTATGTATATATAATGATATAGTGAAAAAAAAAATAAAAAAATAAAAAATAGTTTTTTGTTGAAATAAAAATAAAATAAAATAAAATAAAATTAAAAAAAAAAAGAAATAAAAAAATTTAAATTTTTTTCAAAATTTAAAAATTTTTTTAAAAAATAATAAAATAAATATTTATAAATAATTATTTATGGTCCGCTCTAAAGAGAGAAAGTTAAAAGAATGTTTTAAAATTTAAAATTTTTTTTTTTTGAAATATTTTATTTTCGAAATTTAAAATAACCGTAAAAATATACTTAGAAAATATAGATATAAAAGTGTGGGAAATGATGAAGAAATATTTTGGGGTAAATTTTAAAAATAGTAAAAATAATAAAAATAATAGTTGTTTTATTTTATTTGTTTTTATAATAAAATAATATAACAACTATTATATTTTTTTAATTTTTTTAATTTTTTTTTAATTTTTTATTTATTTTCGTTGTTTTTAAACTTTGGCTTTGAAAAAGATTTATGTGTATATTTTATAAAATTGATTTTTTTTTTTAAAAAAGGTAAATAAAAAAAATAAAATAAAAAATAAAAAAAATTAAATTAAAAAAAAAAAAAAAAAAAAAAAAAAAAAGTTTTTAAAACAGATTTTTTTATATATGTATTAAATTTATATTTTGTAAATAATAATCAAAGTTATATTATTATTTTTAAAAATACAATGAGTAGTTTAACAAGAAATTTAGGTGATGCACGTAATGCATTTGAAGACAATGATATAAATAAATCAATACAGGCACATAATTCCCCCGTTGATGAAGAGGATAGAAAAGAACCACATAAAGAGTAAATTACTAATAATCAATAATGATTATTATATTTAATTATAATCATAGTAATAAATAAATAAAATCTATAAATAAAATAAATTAATAATGAATTACTTTTTTAAATTTTAGAGAATCAGGTGAGTTTATTAAATCAATTGTTTTTGGTGGATTAGATGGTATTATTACAACATTTGCAATTGTAGCAGCAGCAACAGGTGCAGGTTTAACAAGAGGTGTAATATTAATTGTAGCATTTGCAAATTTATTGGGAGATGCTATTGGTATGGCAGTTGGTGATTATGTATCAGAGTTGGCAGAAGAGGATCAAATAAAATTAGAACAAAGTAAATTAGAGAAACAAATAGAGGAGAATCCAGAAGAACAAAAATTAGTATTAGTAGAGTTATATGAGGATAAAGGTTTTACAAACGAACAAGCTAAAAGAATTGTCGAGTTATTATTCCCATACAGAAAAACAGTTACATCAATTATGATGATGGAAGAGCATGGTGCAGTTGCAGAGGACGAGGAAGATGGAGGCTCTAAATATGGTGCTATTAAAAGTGCACTTGTAACATTTGGTTCATTTTTAATTTGTGGTGGTATACCATTATTATCATATCTTTGCTCTGGTCATTACAACATACCTGGGGATTTCGATAAAATATTCATCATTTCAATTGCTCTTTTCGCTTGTGTATTATTTGCTTTGGGTTGTTTTAAAGGATATGTATCAAATAAAAATATTCCAATTTCTGGTATTCAAATGTTACTAAATGGTGCAATTACAACACTGGTTGCTTTTTGGATTGGTTATGGTATTGAAAAAGCACAATAAAAATAGATAATAAAAATAATAATAAATTTTAAACAAATAAACCAATCAATAAATAAAAAGGTATAGAATAATACTCTATATAAAAATGATTTTGGTTTTAATTTATAAATAGTTTTATTGTTTTTTATTTTTATTTTTTTTAGTTATGTTTTGATTTTAATTTTTTTGAAGGTGTTTTTTTCTCTTTCTCTTTATCTTCAGATTCTGAAGCGGATGTGGCTTCATTTTCATTTTCTAAATATTTTAAGATTCTATTTTCCAAAACTGATTTTTTATCTGTGTATTTTAAACCTTTTTTTTGTAACCATTGTCTAAGATCCTTTACTAAATAGCAGCTGAGGTCTTCTTTTGTAATACCATTTTTAATATCTGTAATAAGTGGTCTTTTTGCGGGTTGGTCAATTTCTGAATCATCAGTGGTTTCATTATTACTATTATCAGACTCTTCAGTTTCTTCCTCAAGTTTTCTTTTGTTTTTATTTGATCTTGGTGAGTTATTATTACTATTGCAACTATTTGTATTATTTGCAGAGTCTGCTTCATTTATATTATTGTTATTGTTACTGTTGTCATTATTGTTTTTATTATCACTATTATCTTCACTTTCTGATGCTGATGAAGGTGTCTTGGGGTATTGAAGGTTATTTCTAGTTCTGATTGGTGTTATAAATTGTTGTTGTTGTTGTTTTTGATCATGTATTAAATCTATATTAAATAATTTTGAGGTAACTTTTGTTATTATATCTGACATCTTATCAGTTGGTTTTATATTAATTTTAAGAGATTCACAAATTGGGAGTAGTTTTTGTTTTGGTAAGAATGAAAATAAGTTTTCGACACCACAAAGTAAAATTTCATCTCTGACTAATCTAATAATGTTTTCATAAAATACACCTTCTACTATACTATCGCCATATTGAATACCTCTATTTTTATATTTCTTATAGGTTGATTTGGTTGACAGGGTTGATAAAACTGTAGTTCCATCAGCACCGACTTTAATTGATGGGATCGATGTTGATATGGTTTTAGTTTCTTCTTTTTCTTCCATTTCTTCAATATCTTTTTCCTCTTCTTCTTCTTCCTCTTCTGTTTCTTTTGATTCATTTGATTCACTATTTTCATTAGTTGTAGTTGGTGGTGGGAGTTTAATTTTTAAGCAATTACAAAATTGTGAAAGAATGTGCGGAGTTAAAGAATAAAAGAATTGGTCTAATGAGTCTCTTTTCATTTTATCCTCTAATTGTTTTCTTGAATTTTCTAGAATCTCTTCATCGGTGTCACCATTAACACCAGATAATGATAAAAGAGAGCAGGTTTCTGTAATGGTTTCAAAATTTAAACGCTGAATAAAATCTTCGATACCTAGTTCTCTAGAGTCATTGACAAGTCTATTAACTAAATCGCTTTTTTGATTACCCACTGATTCTATATCATTTTCATATCCAATCGAAACTAAACATTCCAAGAGACTATCAAATGATAAAAAACAGAGTGAGTTGTAAAGTATATCTTCATTAATATTTGATAATTCTTTATTTACTATAGTTGGATTGGTTGTTGACATTTTTGATTTAAATATAGATGGCAAAATTAAAAAAAATTAAAAATATACATGAAATTAAAAAAAAAATGAAATAAAAATAAAATTTAAAAAAAAATAAAAAAATAAATTTTTTTTTTACTAATAATTTTTTCAAATAATTTAAATTAAAATTGCATATAATATAAAAAGATTAAATTTAAGTGTGAAAGATAAAAAATAGATTTATTGTTTTTTTAAGATTTAAAAACCACCTCTTAATCTAAGAACTAAATGGAGAGTTGATTCTTTTTGAATGTTGTAGTCAGAAAGAGTACGACCATCTTCTAATTGTTTACCTGCAAAAATAAGTCTTTGTTGATCTGGTGGGATACCTTCTTTGTCTTGAATTTTAGTTTTAACGTTTTCAATAGTATCTGAGCCTTCAACTTCTAAAGTAATGGTTTTACCGGTTAAAGTTTTAACGAAAATTTGCATACCACCACGAAGTCTTAATACTAAATGGAGAGTTGATTCTTTTTGGATATTATAGTCAGAGAGAGTACGACCATCTTCTAATTGTTTACCAGCAAAAATTAAACGTTGTTGATCTGGTGGGATACCTTCTTTATCTTGAATCTTGGTCTTTACATTTTCAATTGTATCTGAGCCTTCAACTTCTAAAGTAATAGTTTTACCGGTTAAAGTTTTGACGAAAATTTGCATACCACCTCTTAATCTAAGGACTAAATGGAGAGTTGATTCTTTTTGAATGTTGTAATCAGAAAGAGTACGACCATCTTCTAATTGTTTTCCTGCAAAAATGAGACGTTGTTGATCTGGTGGGATACCTTCTTTATCTTGGATTTTAGTTTTAACATTTTCAATAGTATCTGAGCCTTCAACTTCTAAGGTGATAGTTTTACCAGTAAGAGTTTTAACAAAAATTTGCATACCACCTCTTAATCTAAGAACTAAATGGAGAGTTGATTCTTTTTGGATATTATAGTCAGAAAGAGTACGACCATCTTCTAATTGTTTACCAGCAAAAATAAGTCTTTGTTGATCTGGTGGGATACCTTCTTTATCTTGGATTTTGGTTTTGACGTTTTCAATTGTATCTGAGCCTTCGACTTCGAGGGTAATGGTTTTACCAGTAAGGGTTTTAACAAAAATTTGCATACCACCACGGAGTCTTAATACTAAATGGAGAGTTGATTCTTTTTGGATGTTGTAGTCAGAGAGAGTACGACCATCTTCTAATTGTTTACCAGCAAAAATAAGTCTTTGTTGATCTGGTGGAATTCCTTCTTTATCTTGGATTTTGGTCTTTACATTTTCAATGGTATCAGAGCCTTCTACTTCTAAAGTAATGGTCTTGCCAGTAAGAGTTTTAACAAAAATTTGCATAATGTATAATTAATTAATAAATATAATTGTAATATATAAAGGAGTGTTTAGTATTAATAAAGGAAAAAAAATAAATAAATATTTTTATTATTATTTGTTAAGTATTTAAAATTTAAATATAATGAATAGAAAAAAAAAATTTCACACTATTTAAATTTTTTTTTTATAAAAAAAATATTAAAATTAAAATTAAAATTAAATAAAAAAAAAATAAATTAAAAAAAAAATTAAAAAAAAAGTAAAATTTTTTAAGAATTTAATTCTTGAATTTTTACATTATTATAATAACTGAAAATTTTCAATAAAACTATAATTTTAAATAAAAAAGAAGTTAAAACTAACTGTAATCTAAAAATGTGAAATTAAAATAAAATGAAAAAAAAAAAAAAAAAAAAAAAAAAAGGATTAAATATATATATTTTTTTTTTTTTAAATATTAAATTTATTTTTTTTTAATTTTTTTTTTTTTTTTTTCATTTTTTTTTTTTTACCCAAATTACCTTATTAATTATTATTTATATGATATATATATAAATAAAATTATTTTTGCAATGGTGTCAAAGGTAGAAAATAAAAATAATTATAAAGATTATAAAGATTTTTCAGATGAAAGTGATGGAGATAATGATGATAGTAAGTATTGGTGTAAATATTGGTTTTCAAAAAATAGATACTAATTAATATTGTTTTTTATTTTAGATGGATATTCAGGTTTTAATTTAATACCAGATGATTTTAGGGATGAAAGTGATAACGAAAGTGTTTATAGCGAAAATAATAATAATATTGGGTTTGAAATTAGACCTGCAGGCGATACATATGAAGAATATATAAAAAATAACCCAGATCAAGAGGATGAAGAAGATGAAGAAGAAGATAATGATTTTGGTGATTTTGTAGATTTTAAGAACCATTCAGAACAATTTCATAGTTTAGATACTTTTGATAATAGCAGTAGTAATAATAATAATAATAATGATGATAATGATATAGAAGCAAAATTAAAAGCAAATCCAATGCTCAGAGGAGTAGATTTTTCTGAATATTTCCCAAAGACAGAAAACGATCCATTTGCAACTAATAATGATGATTTGGCACCAACTAACCCAAGTAGCGATAATAAATATTCAGAAAGAAATGATAAAGGTCATATGGTTTTAGAAAGAAATAAATTATTTCCACCAGATCATGTTGCTATGATTCAAGAATGTATGAAAAATATTAAATTAGATTATAAACCAATGTGGACAAATTTTATAGCAGAGGATAAATGGATGGGCGCTTTAAAAAATAAATTAGATCCATCCACTCAAACAGCACCAACATCAACATCAGCATCAGCATCAGCATCAGCATCAACACCAACATCAACACCAACACCAACACCAACAACAGATAATAGTAATGTTAACAAAAACTAAGTTAATAATACAATTTAATAAATAATTTTGTAAATAGATTTTTTTTTTTTATTTTAAAAATCTTTAAATTATAATACATAGTTATATTTTATTTTATTTATTTATTCTATTTGTCTATTTATTTCAATATCGATTTGCGAACTAAATACAGTGCAAGCTGGACCAGTTTTAAAAACATTTTTATTTCCAGATCCCCATTGAATTAATAAATCCCCACCAGGCATACTACATGTTACTTCTTTTTCAGAGTCACAGTGACCCATAAGAATACTAGCGACTGCAACTGCTGAAGCACCTGTTCCACATGCCTAAATAAAGAGAATGGGTATAGTTAGTCATTTGTTGTTTATTAATGGTTTATATTTTTAATAACTTACAAGGGTTTCACCAGCACCACGTTCATAGACTCTAGAGATTACAGTGTTTGATAGTTTATTTTCATTTGATTGATATACAAATTCGACATTACAACTGTCGGTAAATAATGGATGTTTTTGAAGAGCAACAGCGATATCTTCGATTTTCATTGTTTTTAAATTTGAACATTCCTCTTTATTTAAATAACCCAATTCTATATTACGTTGTAAAAATACTATGCAGTGTGGATTTCCCATAGATACCAATACACATTCGAGTTGCTTACAATTTGGTAAATTTAATTCGACAGTTTCAAGATATGCAGATTTATCAATACTTTGTTTGTTGTTTAAAACTGTACCATAGCTTTCTTTCCATTTATTGGTTTTTAAAACTAATGCATTTCCCATATTAACTTTGACCATCATAACATTACGTGTATTTAAATGGTGGTAAATCTGTGGATATGTGATGATTAATCCTGCAAGTGTTTCAACTTTTTGTTCTATTTCTGATGTGGTTTCATCTTTTTTTGGTGTACCATTTAAACTCTTTGATTCGATTTTATTGTCAATTACAAATTTTGAAAAACATCTAACACCATTACCACACATGGTGGCTTGTTGACCATCGCTATTAATTACTATCATTTCATAGTGTGCTGATTTCTCAACTTTTGGATTATTATTGCAAATAATTAATTGATCACATCCAACACCATATTTTCTATCTGCTAAAATCAACGAAATATCTTTTAATTCTTTTAATGAAATTTCTGATTTATCGAAACTATTGATTCTTTCGACTTTGTTTGTTTCAAAACAAACAAAATCATTACCAGCTCCATGCATTTTACTAAATTTAACTCTATATATAATACTATTATTAATTGGCTCCATTTTTTAATTATTTAAATATTTTAATTGATAAATAATGAATAAATAAACTATATCAACAATAATATGCTTTTGAGAAAAAAACTGACGCATTTCTATTTTTTTTAAAAAAATTATTTTTTTAATAAATTTTTTATTTTTATTTTTTTATTTTTTTAATTTTTTAGTTTTTGTGATCTTTTTTTTTTATAAAAATAATTATTTATACAATAATTAAATTAAAAATTTAATTAATAGTTTAAAATAATAAATTTATTAAACTATTATAAAATTTTTTATGGTGGTTTAATTATCATGAATGGATAAAAAAGAAGAAAATGAAAAACTAAACTTTTTTTCAGAAAATTTTGATCCGTTATTTGCTTTGCAAAATGCTGATAAAGTAAAACTGCCATTTCCCAAAATAAAACCTCTGGACAATATCCATAAAGCTAGAGTTTTATTACATCCATCTGATGAAAACTATGTTCAAATTAAAAAACCACAACCACAATCACAACAACCACAACCACAACCACAACAACCACAACAAACACAACCACCACAAATACAACAAGAACAAGAACAAAAACAACAAAACACTGCTCTAGAAACATCACAATCCAATACAACTCCATCGGTTACTACAAATATTAGTACAGTCACATCCACAACAACAACTACAACAACCATACCAACAGTAAATGAAAAATATTCAAATCCAAATATAAAAAAGGTTGATGTTGAAGAATTTAAATTAATCAAAAATATTGCAAATTTATTTACAGATGGTCCAATAAGTTTATTAAGAAAAGCTTTAGAAACAAAAAGTAGAATTAAAATTATCATTAGAGATATTAGTTCAATTAGAGGTTATTGCCAGGGCTATCTTGTTGCATTCGATAAGCATTGGAATATCATATTAAGAGATGTAGAAGAAGAATACACTGAATATCACTTTTTATCAGCAGAAGAACAAGAAAAAACAAATAGACATCAAAAAATCAAAAAATATTATGGTCAGTTATTTATTAAAGGTGATACAATAGTCTCAGTTATACTATTAAGTTAATAAAAAAAAAATATATTAAAATCTAAACAAATAGTATTTTTATTTAATTTGTATTTATTAAAGTTTTATAATCTTTTATTATTGACAAATATTATTTTGTGATTCTATAAAATTGTTCTAACAGATATAAAACTAATGGAAAAAATATTCCATCAGTTTTTAAACTATAAATCAAAAATCAAAAAATTAATTGTGGTAAAAAACAAATTAAAATACTCTATTGTTCATCTTCTATAAATTATAGTCGAACTGTGGTAAATATTAAAGCTGTTGAAATTAGATAAAACTATGGTTTTCTTGATAAATTGATGCTTTAAATACAATCTATAAATTGCTAATGATTAATAAATAGTGATACTAAAAACACCCACCATCTGATTTTTTTTTTCTTTTTACAATTTTACAATAAGTTTTTTATTTAATTATTTTATACAGTATTATAAATTAAACTATTATTATTATTATTATTATTATTATTATTATTATTATTATTATTATTATTATTATTATTATTATTATTTTTATTTTATTATATATTATATATTATTAGTTTTTTAATCTTTGATAAATAATAAATAAAGTCCCATAGCAAGACAAGAAGCGGAAACCCATGGACTAAGTCTTTCACCTATAATTGCTGCTTTTCTAGGTAAACCTGAAAAGCTATGTTTGTCTCTAACTTCTAAAATTGATGGATATGTACTTTTAATATATGTACATGTGCAAATAAATAATAAAATAACTACTAACAAACTTTGGAAATTAAAAATTGCTGACTAAATCTGTATGTTAGTTATTTGTGAAGTTATACCGTTATTTAAATTTATAGTTACCATTTTTTTATAATTAAACTTATTTTGTTTATTAATTAAAAATAAAGATAAAAATAAAAATAAAAAAATAAAAAATTAAAAAAAAAATGAAAAAAAATGAAAAAAAAAAAAAAAATAAAAAAAAAAAAAATTTTCCTAAAATTTTTAAAAATCATCCAAGGGAGTAAAAAGCCTTAATCAAATATACATAAATATTTGCATTTTGTTTGTAAATTAAACTAAATAACCTAAATTATAAAATAATAACAATGTTATTATTCAAACCTTGCAATAATTTAGAAATTATATATAAATTATGATAAAAATAATTAATAATAAAAATTATTATACAAATTTAAAAATATATAAAAAATAATTATTTTTGTTTTTTTTTTTTTTTTTTTTTGTATCTCACACCAAAAAAAAATACTTTTTTTATATTTTCCCAAAAAAATAAAATTGTTTTGAATTCTTAAAAAAAAATTTTAATTTTTTTTTGGTTTTTTTTTTTTTTTTTTTTGGGGTTCTTTTTTTTTTTATTTTTCTTTTTCCAAAAATCATTTTTATATCAACATTTAATTTTTTTTTTTTTAAACATATAATTTTAAAAAAAAATGTCAAAATCTTTAGAAAAAATAAAAAAATCAAATAAAGAAGATCCCTCCATTGGTTTGAAATATCAAAATGATCATGATGGTCATGCATTAACAATTATTTTCGATCATATAATTGATACCCCAAATTTTTCAAAATCAACAATCACTGAAAATCTATCAGTGCTTTCCACACAAAAACTTAAATTTTTATCCGAAATTCAAGAAATTTCGAATATTATCAACACAATAAAACAAAAGAGTTTAACTGGTTTAAATCATTTAATCAATGATATTTTCAAATCTTATAGCAGTTTTAAAATCCGACACCCAGTTTTATTTTTAAACTTTGTAAGGCTCATCTTTATTGTGTTTTTTAATAAAACCTATCAAAAAAATTATTTAAAAATAATTAAAAAAGAAACCCATCTGCCTGCTTTCTCTAGACAGACCCGAAATAATTTCAGCCTTAATACAATACTAAGCAATGGATTTTTCAAAAAAGTCAAATTATCTCTTCAACTTAAGGGTTTACTTGTTCCAATGTTTAAAATAAATTCTTCAAATATTATGAAACCTATTCAAACAATTATAAAAAGAATTACATCTATTTATTCTGATACCACAAGCTCTGTTAGCAAAGTTACTCAAGATATCTCCAAAAATTCAATTGATAATGTTTACTCTGATATCACAAACTCTGTTACTCGAGGTATCTCCGAAATGTCAATTGCTAATGTTCCTGGTTATCAAGGTTTAAACTCACCGGACTTAACACCCAGTTTCTACGATATTGATTTACACACTGTATGTAAATATATTTTAATCTTTTATTTAATTTTAATTTTTTATTTATTTACTAACATTCTAATATTTTAGAGTGATAATGACATTATCGACATATTGCTAAACACCAATCCAATAATGATTCCATCTATTAAAATCAATCTACCATCTGAAAAACCACTTTTGTTCGAAAGCTATGCTCAATATGTAAACTATTTAAAACCAATGGTAACAAAAGAATTTATCAAACAAATAGAAAACAGTATCGAAAATTCTTTTGGAATAGAAGTTAGAGATGAAAAATTCAAAGACCTTAATAAATTAAAAATGAACCCGGTTGCATTGGTTGAGGGAGTAGTAATAAGAAGAGAAAGCTGTGAGGCTACCTTTGAAATAAAATACAAAACCCGTTCAGAAGAAATTAATCCACGTGACCTTTTACTTGTACAAGTCTCGTATAAATTTTTCATGTGCGAGGTTATTAGCGATTTGAAAAAGGCAAACCATTTAGAGAAAAAAATAATCTGCAAATTTGGCAATTTTGAAAACCTATCAAATGAACTCTTAAAACAAAACCCCCGTGTTTCTTATGTAAAAGTTAATGCTTCAGTAACTTTCAGAAGAGAAATTGAGACCCTTCATTTATTAAAAGATAAGAAATTGTTATTCAAAAGTTTAGTCTCACCCTCATATTTTCGCCTCACATCAAATGAAGATCAGGAAATTATTAAAATTTTAAATGATCCTCAAAAAGAAGCAGTTAATGAAAGTTGTTCAAATAGAAATTTTATTACTTTGGTTGAAGGCCCACCAGGTACCGGGAAGACTATGGTAATTGAAAAAATTATTTCTATAATTACCCAAAAAGAAAAGAACAGTAAAATATTAGTTTGTGCCCCATCTCATATTGCAGTTGATGAAATCCTTAAAAGAATATATCTATCTGAACATCAAAGTAAAATCTGTAGAATTGGTCGTTTAGAAAAAATATCAAAAGAATTCCATCCCGTAAGTGCATATAATCTTCACCATTGGGAAAGAAAATCATATTTAAGAAGTAAAACAATTTGCTTTTCAACATTGTCTGGAAGTGGCTCAGCTTTAGTAAGGTCATCATTTAGTCCAGATTATGTAATTATAGATGAATCGACCCAATCAACTGAGGCATCTGCAATTATTCCACTTACCATTGGCACATGTAAAAAAGTAGTTCTAATTGGTGACACAAAACAATTACCACCAACTATTTTTGCTAAAGAATCATACAAGCTGGACTTCAATGTTTCTCTCTTCGAAAGATTATCAAATATAAACAAATTAAAAACAACAAATTTAAAAATTCAATATCGTATGCATCCACGAATTTCCTATTTTCCCTCAACCCGTTTTTATGGTCATGGTTTAATTGATGGCGATAATGTTAAACATTACTATCAAGATTTTTATTCAAATCCACTTTTTGGCCCTCTTTGTTTTTACCATTTACCAAATTCAAGAGAAGAAACTAAAGAAAATAATAAGTCTAAGATGAACAGTTATGAAATTAATACCATTGTTACACTATTAAAAAGCTTGTTTATCGCTCACCCAGAAGTTAAAAAAAAGTCAATAGGAATTATAACACCATACAAACTACAAAAAGAAGAAATGCATAAAAAAATTAAATCTATTTTCAATCTTAACATTTCAATTACTACAATAGATGGCTCACAAGGTAAAGAAAAAGATATTGTAATTTTATCCTGTGTTAGAAGCAGTGATATTGGTTTTTTCAGAGATATAAATAGAATTAATGTAGCAATTACCCGTGCCAAATATGCCCTCTTTATTATTGGAAATAAAGATACATTTTATAATGATAAAACTTGGAAGGACTACATTGATATAATTGACAATATGTCGGGAATTAAAGTATTAACTAAAGAAGGAATCAATGTTATGAATCAAAACTTAAAAGATGCTCAATTACCAGATATTTGTGGTAATTTCGATGTTAAAGAGGAAGAGCATTTTGAAGATGAAGATGAGCCAATAGGAGATAATATAAAAGATGAACAAAACGAAGAATACTATAGTCCAGAGAATTTACAAGGTAGCGAAAAAGAATATTTAGATTTAATTAAAACCAATCCAAATTATTTTTATTCAATAATCTCAAATTTATCAAACGATAGAACAAGTAAAATTTTTGTACAAACTTATATTAAACTCATAATTGAGTCAGATGTACCTGTACCTGAAAGTAAAAGCGAATTCATCAATTATTTAGAATTAAAAGCCGAAACCTTGAAAGAAAATAGCAACAGCTTACAAAGAAAGAATAACAGCTTTAATACTTTAGAAAACTTTTTAAAAAATGAATTCCCAACTGGAAAATTATATAAATATGGCTCTTTTGTTACTCGTTTATCAAGTCCCGATAGTGATATCGATGTCACCCTCATCGATAGCTCTCAACCCTACAATATGGTATTACAAAAATTAAAAAACAAACCAAGATATGATAATTTTGAAACAAGACCAGATGCGAAAGTACCAATTATTAGATTTTGTGATAAAATCAATCTTGTTAAATTTGACCTGAGCTTTAACATTGGAGAACCAAACCAAAATTCTAATTTCTTTATATCAGAACTAAAAGACAAAAAATATTTAAAAGAATTGATTTTATTGGTCAAACATTACACAGAAAAGGCAAATATTAAAGATGCCTCTCAAGGTTATTTTTCATCCCATGCACTAACTATTATGGCAATTTATTTTTACAAAACTTTGGTTAGATCCAATCTCAACATTCACAAATTATTGCATTCATTTTTTTTATTCTATATTAAATTTGATTACAATAAAATAATTTCGATCAACACAAATGTAATGGAATCATTTAGAAGCTTTGATACAAAAATTAAAATTCAAGATGTAATTGACAATCAAAGAAATGTCGCTAGTGGTATTAAACTTTCAAATTTTAAAAAAATAATGGTAGAGTTTTCAAGAATTGAATATCTATTAAGAAACTATGGAGAATTCATCAATCATGAATTAAATAAAAAAAATTAAAAAATTAAAAAAACTATAATAATAAACAAAAAATCTAATAACTCTAAAACTTAAAAAAAAATAAATAAATAAACAAATTAACAATAAAATATTTTTTTTTTTTTTATAATATTATTTTATTATTTTATTATTTTTGAACTAATAGTTTTATTATATACATTTTTATTTGTAATTGAATTTAACAATAATTATAGGAATTACCATTCCAACATCCCATACTGAAATAAAAAGTTGAGAAGACGGAAATTGCAGCACATAAATAAAGAGAACCAACAATTAATGATGCTAATGAGATTTTACGGGCATAGCAATGTGGTGACTTTAAGTAAGCAAAATTGAAAAAGAATGGGAAGAAAAAGAAGAAACCTAAAACAAAGAATGTGACAGAGTAAGCACAATCTGATGAGTGTTTATCACCTTTATTATGTGGTCTTTCGATTAATGGTGTATTGACATAATAATATTGTTGTGGTTGTGGTTGGATGAGTGGCTGGGAACTTAAAGGTGGTTGATAATTATTTTGGTAAATATTTGACATTTTGAATAATATATTTAGATGCAAATAAATTTGGGAAATAAATAAAAAAAAAAAAAAAAAAAAAAAAAAAAAAACCAAAAAAAAAAAAAAAAAAAAAACAAAAAAAAAAACAAAAAAAAAAAATTAAATAAATTAAAAAAATGATAAAACCAGATATTTCTAAAAAAAAAAAAATCTATAGAAAAATTTTAAAAAAAACTAAAGAAAAATGTATGATAAAGAATATAAAATTTTTATAAACTTGATCTTTATTTTATAATATTATATATTATATATTAATAATGATGGGATTTTGATTATTATTTCTACAAGTTAGATTGAGAACTATTTGATATATGTGAAAATTGAGACTCTTGATTAACAGAAATCATAGTAATAACCATTCCAACATCTCATACCGAAATAAAAAGATGAGGTGACGGAAACAGCAGCACATAAATAAAGAGTACCAACAATTAATGATGCCAATGAGATTTTACGGGCATAGCAATGTGGTGACTTTAAGTAGGCAAAATTGAAAAAGAATGGGAAGAAAAAGAAGAAACCTAAAACAAAGAATGTGACAGAGTAAGCACGATCTGATGCGTGTTTGTCACCTTTATTATGTGGTCTTTCAATTAAAGGTGTATTGACGGTATAATATTGTGGTGTTAAAACGGTGTGTTGTGGAATTTGTTGAACTTGTTGTGGTGGTTGTTGTTGTTGTTGATAACTGGATGGGTTTGGATAAGTTACGTTAGTCATTTTTTATATTAATTATTATTATATGTTTCTTTTAATAAAATTTAAAAAATAAAAAATATATTTTTCTTTTTATACCAAATTTTAAAAATTAAAAAAAATATTTTTTTGCATAAAATTTAATCACCTATTTTTTTGTTTTTCTCTCAAAAAAATAGAAAAACTCAATTGAAAAAGATTTATATTATTGGAAAAATCAAAATTTAAAAAAAAATTTTGATTTTTATAAAACTTTATTTAAAAAAAATTTATTCTATTATTTATTTTTTGAATTCTATGACCAAAAAAAAAAAAAAATTGTTAGCAAAACCTTTTTAAAAAACAAAAATTGAATAAAAATATAATTACCTTTAATTAGATATTTAATTGATGACGATGAAGCCATATCATATGGAGTCTTATTATCTCTATTCTCAATTGTCATATCAGCACCATTTTTTAAAAGCAATTCAACCACATCTTCATGACCATACTCTGCTGCAATATGAGCAGCAGTATCACCTTCGTTATTGGTTGAATTAATTGAAGCATCACCTTTTAATAATCTTTCAACAGTTGTAACGGAGCCATTTGCAGCTGCTCTATGAATTGGTGCTGAACCTGTATCATCTTTTCTATTTTTTGCGCCATAATTTAATAATAAATCTACAATATCTGATCTACCTTTTGATGATGCCTAGTTATTAAAAACAAACCAAATTAATAATTAACCTTGATTTTTATTTATTTATTTTTTATTATAAAAAACCTACATAGTGCAATGGTGTTCTTTTTGAATCATTTAGTGTATTTGGATCGGCATTATATTCTAGTAATAACTTTACCATATGAGAATGGCCAGCGGATGTGGCAGATGTTAATGGAGTCCAACCTCCATCGTCGCATGTGTTAGGATTTGCCTTTTGGTTTTCTAAAAGATAAGTTGCTACACCAATTTGACCTTTAGCAGCTGCCCAATGGAGTGGTGTTCTTTCGTCCTCATCTATACAGTTAACTTTTACATTTTCATTTTCAATAAGATTCTGCACTTCTATTAATTTACCTATTTTACAACATTCTAATAAATCATCTTCTTTTGTACCATTAGTACGAAATTTTGTACCCGACATTGTGTGTGTATATATATATATGTATCTGCTTTTAGTTAAATATTTGAATATCTGTATATTTATTAAATTTAATAAATTGAACAGTGGTGTGTTTAATTTAATTTAATTTTTATGAAAAATGAAAAAAAAATTAAAAAATAAAAAAATAATTATTTTTTTTTTTTGAATTTTTTTTTTTTTATTTTAAATTTATCAATTTAAAAAACAATAATAAATTATGAATAAATTTAATATTTTAAAATTTTACAATAAAACAGTACCATTTATTAATTCTTGTAAATTCAATAATAATAATTTAATTAAAAGATCATTTTGCACCACCAATCATCCAGATCACCTTTCTAAAAAATTCAATGAAATCGAAGAAGCATTTGATTTTAAACTTCCACCATACCAACCAATTATAATAAGATTAGATGGATGTTCATTTTCTAACCTATCGAAAAAAACAAATTTAAATCTTCCACATGATCAAAGATTTCATGAATCAATGAAATTGGTATCACTAGCTTTGGGCAATCATTTTAAAGGAACCAAACTAATTTATTCATTCTCTGACGAAATTAATTTATTGGTGTGGAATCATTTTCCAGATAGCCAAGTTTATTCAAATAGAATTCAAAAACTTAATTCAATAGCATCATCCATTGCATCAGTTACTTTTTCAAACTCACTTTCAAAACAATTAAATAATGAAAATAATGAAGAAATTAATAGTTTTTTCGATTCTAGAGCATTTGTAGTTCAAGAAGATGATGTATGTATAATATCATTAATATTAATAACAACTATTATTTATTTATTAATATATTGTGCTTTTTTTAAATATAGATTGGTGAATATTTTTTAAAAAGATATAAAAGATGCTACTCAAATTGTTTAACCTCAATAATTTCACATTACGATAAAAATAAAGAATATAACGAATTAAAAAAAAAAGAAACAGAAAATAACACAGGCGAACTTAGTAGACATAGTTTATATAACAGAGAGAAATTTATACAAAATAATTTAAATATAAAACTATCGCAGTATCCAGAACATTTTAGACATGGTATTATTTTTTATAAGAATCAGAAATCTGGCTGGGAAATGGAGTCGTTCCCAATCTCGCTAACATTTATAAATAATTTAATAAGATAAATAAAAAATAAGCTTCAATAAATTAATTTATATAAATATAATTATCTATTTATTATTTTTTTTTATTATTATTATTCTATTAATATTTAAAAAAAAGTGTATCTTTATTTTTGAAATAATACATTGTGTTTGTTTTTTTTTTTTTTTTTTTTGTTTTTTCTTTTTTTCCTTCCCTTTATCTGTAATTTAAATTATTTAAAAATCTGGGTCAGCTTCATTATCTGAACTTTCTTCAGCTGCTCTTTCCATTTCTTGTTTGATGGTTTTAGCAACTTCAGCAATTTTTTCGGTTTCAGCTTTATTTAAATCTGGGTGGAATCTCATGGCTTTAAGAGAGTCGTTGTGGATCTTTAAACAAATATCGATTCTGTTTGAGAAAGCGTTTAATGGTTCTTGGGTTGAATAGGCATCAACAGTTTCTCTTGATTGAAGATAACCACCTTCATAATTAATGGTAGCATCAATAACACCATCTTTAATAGTCTATAATATTTAAAGTTATAAAAAAATAATAATAATATTAGTATTTAATATGATGATATAATTTATAATATACTGTTTTTTTCTTTTTACCTTTGCAATAATAAACATAATATCTTGGGTAGTACCATCAAACTTTAATTTTTTACAAATATCTTGGAATGAAATTCTGGAATAGGCAGAGTTAATTTTTTTAAGACCAGTTTTGATTACATTAGTACGTAATCTTTGGACGAGGGTATAAGTGTGATCTGATTTAAAGTTGCTGGCATATTGTTCAAGAGTTTGACTGAAGGAATTTAAATCACCAACTCTAACAGCTTGAGTTAAATGGAAGTATGGTTTTAAGGCAACTTTTAATTGTTTTTGTGAGAAAATACTTCTTTCTGGAATTTCACCCATTAATAATTGAACGATTGAGAGTAATTTATATACAGTTCTACGGAAACCACCAGCACTATTTTGTGGTGCTTTTCTAATTGCTTGAGTTAAAAAGTTAAAGGCTGAAGAGTAATCCAATTGAATAGCCTTGATTCTACCTTGATAATAATAGTATCTGGCAAATTGATTACTTGAAGCTGATTCTGGGAATTGAGTATTACTTAATAATTTATCAGCTTGTTCATAAAGATTATATTCTAAATAATTTCTTAAAATTAAATTAATAATGGTAGCTTGACCTTCATCATTGTGTCTTAAAGTTGCTGTACGAAGTGCAGTTAATAAAGTTCTAAAATATATAAATAATAAAATTAGTTTTAAGAAATATATTTTATATGGAATGTTATATTATTATTGTATTATTATTATTATTATTATTATTATTATTATTATTATTATTATTATTAATACTATTATCTATTTTAAAATTAATATTTAATCAACATACGGTCTAACATCTTGAAGTTTATTAACCATTTCAAATGATAAACTATAATAAAAGAAAATCTTTGATGATAATGGATATAAAGTAACTCTGTTATTTGATTGAATAGTTTCAATAAGGGCACTTGAAACCTTGGTTGAATCTTCATATTTTTCTTGATCAATTAAATGAATTAAAACTAAAAGATAAACATAACCTTCAACTTCGACATTTAAGTGTGATTGTGGTGTAACTGTTGTTTCTTTTGATGAGTCAACATCCATACTTTCATTTGACTGAAAATAAATAAAAGAAAAAATATTAGCATCTGTTTGTTTGGATAGAGTATGTAAAAAAATAAAAAACCATTGAATGGAATAATTACTTTTAAGAATGATAATAAAAAGTTCTTTTTAGTTGTATAGTTTGCATGAGAGAAAACTTGGTTAATAATTTGTGTAAGAACTTTTTGAGTTAATTTCTTTCTGATTGATGATGTTTGTCTGAGTACGCTAATAATATATCTCATTTCTTTAGTATCTACACTTTTTTCTATTAATGAAATATTTTTTTTTATATCTAAATTTATATATTAAATGATTGAAATTTTTAATAATGAATAAATTAATATCACTATATTTGAAAATAAATAAAAAATATATAAATCAAAAAAGAAATCTTACCTGCCAATGTTAATAATGGTGATTCATTAGATTGAATTTGATCTTCTGATTTAGCGCTTGGATCAAGCATTTCAATATCTGACATGATTTATTTGACTGTGTATATATTAAATATATAAAAAAATTAGATAAAAAAAAAATTTAATAATGAATAATAACTTTTAAAAAAAAAAAAAAAATTAAAATTAATAATGATGAACAACAAAAAAAAAAAAATTAAAAAAAAAATTAAAAAAAAAAAAATTTTAATTTTTTTATAAATTAATTTAAAAAAGAAAAAAAAAATAAAAAAAAAAAAGAAAAAATAAATTCACAAAAAAAAAATATAAAAAAATAATTGTAAATATAATTGTGTGTTCACAATTCACTTTTGATTAAATTTAATGTACATTATATATTATTTTTCTATATTATATACAATCACTAAATAAGATAATTTAATTTTTATTCATTTATTTATTTTTTATTTTTTTTTTTTGTTTATTTATTTTATTTTTCTAATCAATTATTTTTATATAGTCTCAAAAAACAAATAAAATGGAACCAAATAAAATAAAATTAAAAAAATTGAAAAATAAAAAAAAATAAAAAAAAAATAAAAAAAAAAACGTGGAAAAATAAATTTATTTTTTTAGTTTTTTTTTTTTTGAATTTTTTTTCATTTCATTTTATTTTGTAAATAATCATATTATATAGGATGTTTTCATCAAGTTTAGTTTCTTTAAGAAAATGGACACCAGGTGCCATCAGAAATATTAGAAAACTTAGAGAACAACAAAAGCAAGCTGAAATTAGAAAAAAAGAGAATAAAAAATCTGGTCCAGTTTCAATTTATCTTCCAGAAATTATTCAAGTGTAAAAATCAACATTAATTACCAATCATTATCATAATCATAATAATAGTCTGATCATAATCATAATCATAATCATAATCATAATCATAATCATAATCATAATCATAATCATAATCATAATCATAATCATAGTCATTGTCATTGTCATAATCATTCAAATCATTATAATATTCATAATAATAATCCAGCAATAGTAACAGCCTATCATATTACAATAATGATTATCAGTAATAAAACCATAATATTAATATTAATAATGGAATTTTCATAAGGATACTACTATTCAATAGAATAGCAAAAATGATATTGATTCTTGATAATAATAATAATAGCTTAATAATAATAAACACCATAGCAATATTATTGAATGATATTGACCAAAATAATCTTAATGTAATATATACTAATTATTTTTATTTATATTCTACCATAGTGTTAAAGAAGAACCAAAAAACTAAATATAGCATAAACTTATTTTTATATATAAATCAACAACCACTAAAACCTTTCACATAACAAATCAATGAAAAATAGCAACAATATCAACCCAAAATTTTACCATACCAACCAAATAAACCTTTTCTTTTTTTTTAAAAAAAATCATAACTTAAAAAAAAGAAATAAATAAAAAATGTAATTAAAACAATTTATTAAAATACTCTTTGATAAAAGAGTTTACAATTTATTTTTTTACTTTTTAAAAATATTTATTGATGTTCTATATTGTTCCAGTATTTTAATTAATTTTGTGAATCTAACCATAAATCAAAGGAAATTTCTAAAATATCTAATGGTAATGAACCATTATTTAAAATTGCAGAATGGAATTTCTTTAAATCAAATTTGCTACCCAATTTTTTTTTTGCTTTTTCTCTTAATTCTAAAATCTTCATTTGACCAATTTTGTATGCACATGCTTGACCTGGCATGACAGTGTAACGATCAACTTCAGCGATGATATCAGAGTCGACTAAATTGGTGTTATCTTTAAAGTATTGAATTGCTTTTTCACGAGTCCATTTGTATTTGGATGAATGAAGAGCAGTATCTACAACCAAACGAAGAGCTCTCCAAAGTTCTGCACTTAAATAACCCAAACGTTCGTATTTGTTTTTATAGAGACCCAAATCGTCACCCAAAGTCTCAGTGTAAAGACCCCAACCCTCTGCAAATGATGTGAAAACAATAACTCTACGGAATGCATCAATGTTACTAAACTCTTGAGCCAATGCAAGTTGAAGATGGTGACCTGGTATTGCTTCATGAATGCAAAGATCTTTAGCCATGGATTTATTGTGTGCTGTAGTATCTCTTAAATTTACACTAAATATACCACCTTTTGATTTATCCATTGCTGGTGGATTGTAATATGCTGGTGCTGATTCAGCTTCTTTAAAGAGTGGCACACGCTCGACTTCACACGCCGCCTTGGGGAATCTTTCGAAAGAGTCATCAACTGCATTGGTGCACTCGACAATAATATCTTTATAGTATTTAATGATTTCTTCTCTTCCTTTGTCACCCTCTGAAAATTGTAGTTCTGGTTTATTTGGAATTAATCTTATGACTTCACCAAAATTTCTTTCGATATCTGGGTGCTTATCTTTAAAAAGTTGAATAATTTCATCTTTAATTCTTTTAACTTCTTTTAAACCTTTTTCATGAATTTCAGTTGCTGTTAAATCAGTATTTGTATGGAATTTCAAAAGAAAAGTATATAACTCTTCACCATTTGGGCACCTCCAAATCTAAACCATGCCAAAATAAAAAACAATTAAAAAATTAATATTTATGGGTGTTATAATCTAAAAAATAAAGTAGTTTACTGTTTTACTTACACCATCACCAGGTTTTGAAAATTGTTTTAGGCTTTTTAAGTATTGATTTAATTTTTCATATGATGGAATTAAATACTTTTCAATTGATAGATTTAAATCTTTTAATATTTTGTCGGAGTTTGATTGGGTAATTTTGCCTTTTGTGTTTAAGGCAATTAAATCTTGATTTAGTTTCTTATACAAGAAATAGTCCTCTGGTGAAGTTTCACTTCTTTGAAGAATTTTAGATTCGATGTTGTTGATACAGAGGTCAAGAATATGTGATGAAGGAATAATACCCTTTTCTTTACGTACTTCTAAATCAAGTAAAAGACCATCGATAAATTGATCGCTGTATTCAATTCTTTCGACAAAATCTTGAGCATCTCCTTTGGTATCGACTTGCTGTTTAGTGAGGACATCAATAAGAGCAGATTGGGCTCCTGCAAACTGATTGACTGAATAAACCATTGGATAGATAAAATATTTTGGTGATGGATAAAGTAATAGCTGATAGCCTTGTTTTAATGATTGAAAATAGGCCTTAGCAGTTAAGAAACCAACATAGTCTTTTGATTTTGGTGTACCATATTTCGACTCCATCTCGTCCAATGTTTTAAGTTCGACTTCAATTTTTTTAAGATTTTTTTGTTGTTGAGCTGGGCTTAAATCATCTGATCTGGTATGTTGACACTTTAATCCAAAACTATCAAATGCTCTGGTGGATGTTAATAGTAAGAATTGGCCTTCCATCATAACCAATAACATTCTAATTGAATACAATTTAAATGTGAAAGGGATGCCAAATAAAAATCTGTTGAGTATATAAAACAATACCAAAATAAATGCCAATTCTGCATTTGGTTCAATATTGAAATAACTTTCTTCACCAGGACCATATCCAGGAACAAACTTGTTGACCAAAAATTCGATGATTGGTAGTAATAAAAATTTACCACCAATTATACCAACCAATAATATAATCTTCCTAATTGATGTGATAATTCCATATCTTGTTAACAAATAACCAATACTTGTGGCCATTTTATTATTTTTTTAAAAAATATTATTGAAAAAAAAAATTGATGAAAAATTAATTAAAAAATTAAAAAAAAAAAAAAAAAAAAAAAAAATTAATAAAAATAAAGTTAAATATAGATATTAATATCCGCATTGTATTAATTAATATAAAAATAGGAAATAAAAGAAAATAAAATTTAATATATAGAAGAATTTGATTAAAAAATTTAATTTTTATTTATGTTTGGTGGGTGGTATTAATAAAACAACAAAAAAAAAAATTAACCAATTTTTTATGATTATTATTATTATAAAAAAGTATATTATATTATTATTATTATTATTATTTTAATTGGATTAATTTTTTTTTTAGGGTGGTGTGTGATTTTGATTGTTTGGTTTTTTTTGGGTTTTTTTTTTTTAAATATTATATATATATTTTTTAAATATATATTTAATTTCTGAATAAATCATCACCATCATCTTGGTTGAATTGTTCACCTTCTTGATCTGGGAATTTAAAGTTGTTACCAAGACCACGTGATTGAACTAAGGTTTGAGCAAACATTTCATATTTTCTAATATCATTGTCAGAGACAGATCTACGAGCAGATTTCATAGCTTCTTCAAAGTGATCACGAGTGATTTCTGGGACTGGATCAGAGGTATCTTCATCCATTGTAGTATCACCACTTTCTTGACGGGCTCTGGTGGTTTGAATATCTTTTTCAATTGATTCACGAATAGCTAATTTACAAGCACGTTGACAAATTTCAGTTAAATCAGCACCTGAGAAACCTTGAGTCTTTTGAGCTAAAAAGTCTAAATCAACATCTTTAGCGACTGGTGATTTCTTGAGACAAGCTTTAAGAATGGCCATACGTGATGGTAAATCTGGTAATGGAATATAAATAAGTTGATCAAGACGACCTGGACGTAAAATAGCTGGATCAATAATATCTGGACGATTGGTAGCACCAATAATGAAAACATTCTTTTTAGCATTCATACCATCCATTTCAGTAAGAATTTGATTGATAACACGATCACCAGCACCACCGGCATCACCTTGTGATGAACCTCTTGAACGAGCAATTGAATCTAATTCATCAAAGAATAAAACACATGGAGCAGCTTGACGGGCTTTATCAAAGAGTTCACGAACATTGGCTTCAGATTCACCAAACCACATAGTTAAAAGTTCTGGACCTTTAATTGAGATAAAGTTAGCTTGACATTCATTGGCAATAGCTTTGGCTAATAAAGTTTTACCACAACCTGGTGGACCATAGAAAAGAACACCCTTTGATGGTTGCATACCAAATTTACGGAATTTTTCTGGATGTTCAACTGGATATTGAACAGTTTCTCTGAGTTCTCTCTTGACACCTTCGAGACCACCAATATCTTCCCAAGTGGTAGTTGGAACTTCAACAACAGTTTCACGAAGAGCTGATGGGTTGCTAAGGGTAAGGGCAGTTCTAAAGTGATCTTGAGTGACTGACATTGATTCAAGAATTTCAGCTGAAATGGTATCGTCTTCTAAATCGATAACATCCATCTTTTCACGAATACATTGAAGAGCTGATTCAGTGCAGAGAGCAGCAAGATCGGCACCAACGTAACCATGAGTTTCATTTGAGACGGCTTCGAGATCAACAGTTTCGTCGAGTTTCATATTTTTAGTGTGAATACGGAGAATTTCGAGACGACCAGTGGCATCTGGAATGGTAATATCGATTTCACGATCGAAACGACCGAAACGACGAAGGGCTGGATCGATTGAATTTGGACGATTGGTGGCACCCATAACAATAACGTGAGCTCTTGATTTAAGACCATCCATAAGAGTAAGTAATTGTGAAACAATACGACGTTCAACTTCACCTTGGGTTTTTTCTCTCTTTGGTGCAATTGAATCGATTTCATCAATGAAAATAATTGATGGAGCATTCTTTTCAGCCTCTTCAAAAGCTTTTCTAAGATTTGATTCTGATTCACCAGCTAATTTTGACATAATTTCTGGACCATTAATTAAAAAGAAGAAAGCACCAGTTTCATTGGCAACAGCACGAGCAATCATAGTTTTACCACAACCTGGTGGACCATATAAGAGAATACCTTTTGGTGGTTTAACACCAATATTTTTGAATAATTGTGGATGACGTAATGGAAGTTCTACTAATTCTCTAATTTGACCTAATTGTTTACGGACACCACCAATATCATCATAACCAACTTCATCAAGACGATCTTCGTCTTCTCTTTTAACTGGTTCACCTTCACAATGTATAAAAGTTTCTGGTGCAACAATACAATATTCGGCTGGGTCAGTTTCTACCACTTTGAATTCTACGGCTCTCATACCACCACGAACTAAAAAGAGATCACCTTTACGAACTGGACGATAAGCTTCTAAAAAGTATGGTTTTAAAAAGAGATCGAAAAGATTGCCACTGAGACCTTCAATGGTATCATCAATTGGTAATACATGAATACGTTTACCATATTTAACATCTGGAATTTGGTGAACTGAAATCATATCACCTAATCTAACACGAAGATTATTTCTAACTACTTTATTCATACGAATTTTTGATGGGTCAATTGTTGGATCACTGAGTACAATACAAACTGTATCTCTTCTCTTTTTACCTTTGATCAAAAGTGTATCACCTCTGAAAAATTGTAATTGGTCCATAGTATCTGGATTTAATGTAACAACTGAATTATCATCATTTATAGCTTCTTCAACAAATAATCTATTTGGAGCTTTTTTACGTTCTAAAATTGGATTATTGTTATCTTTTGAAGTACTAAATTATAAAAAAAAAAAGAATGTTATTATTTGATTTAATTTAATTTATTTTTTTTTTATTTTTTATTTTTATTTTTTTTATTTTTTTTTTTATTTTTTTTTTAATATGAATATGTGAACATCATAATTATTAATAATGATTGTCATCATATTTTTATATTATAAAAAAAATAAAAAAAAAGTATTTTAGATTGTATAATTATAGTAAACTTACTCTTCAATTGTAGCCATTTTATGTGTTTAGTTTATATATATATAAAAAGTAAAATAGAAAAAAAAATATACAAAGAAATAACCTAAAATAATAAAAAAAATATATAAAAAAAATAATAAAAAAAAAAAAAATTAAAATTTTGAACTGGAAAAAAAAAATTAATTTAAAAAAAAAAAATTAAAAAAAATTAAAAAAAAATTTTAAAAAAATAATAAAAAAATAATAAAAAAAATAATAGTAAATTAACTTTTTTTCTATTATTTTTTTTTATAAAATATAAATTTATATAAATTGGAAACTTACTTTTTTTTAGAGGTTTAAAAAAAAAAAGTTTTTTAAAGATTTATTTGCGTGAACAAAAAAAAATTATTATTTAATATATATATAATGTTGCGCAATTATATAATGTACAAAAAATTTTAAATATAAATTATTTTTTTAATCAATTTGAAAAAAAAAAAATAAAAAAAAATAAAAAAAATATTTATAAATTATTTAAATAAATAGGTGTTAAAAATGGAAGGGTGTGTTCGTGTGTACGTGTGTTCTTGTGTGTTTGTGTGGTAAAATTGTTTTTTTTTTTTTTAAAAAAAAAAAATTATATCTATATTAATTTAGAAATAAAAAAAATAATAAATAAGTATATTTTGATTGATTAATAATAATAATAATAATAATAATAAAAAAAGCAAGTTGATTTGAATTTATATTTTTTTTTTTTTTTAATAAATTAAAGTTTTTTTTTATGAATTTTATAAAAAAATTAGAATAATATTAATTGAATTTTATAATTTGAAAAAAAATAGAAATAAAAAAATTGACTTTTTTTTTTTCTATTTTTTGAGTCATTCTTGCATTATTACTAATTATCTATTTATCAAACAATAATTTTAAATTTAAATTAGGTTATGAATCATTATGATATTGCCATATTTATTTTATTTAATATTTATTGGTTTTTTTTTTTTTTTTTTAAATAATTGTGATTAGTCACTATTATTGTTTAACTTGAAATAATTTTATATCGGTATGAAGGAAGAGTGGAGGGGCACGATTTTCTAAATAAATGATACACCACATATAAGCTATAAACCAAGATTTAGTGACTGTATTGGAATGATATTTTCTAGTCATTATTGGACCTGGATTATGGAATATACCAACAATTGTTGACATTTTTAAATAATCCATAATTTTCTGTTCGTCTGATCCACTATTATTAAAATAAAATTAGTATATTGAAATAATAAAAATTACATAGGTTTTTGTAAAGCTATAAATTTAATTACTTACGATCCAGTACATAAACCTTGGATTTGGGGTGAAAGATGAGTAATAACTTTTAATATGTTATCTAATGGTAATTGCTTTTTAATATCTTGAAGCCATTCATCAGTTGGTAAAAATTGTGAATACATTGGAGTTTTGATTGTTTGTTTATTTGGAGTTGATGCATTTGATGATGATAATGAGTCAATTTGTTGGGGTGTTTGTTGTTTACTATCTACAGAGCTGTTTAAGTTTGGTGAGGATTCTGATGGAGTGGTTGATGAAAATGCTTTGATTACTGGAGTGCCACTACCACTTTGGATTGTTTCAGAATTGTTTTTTAATTTTGATTGATCATCTGTGGTATCTAATGTAGTAGTGGTAGTGGTTGTTTTATCTTCATTTTTATCTTCATTTTGTTTATTGTTATCATTGACTTCATCATTATTAATAGTGTTTGGAGGATGTTCAGTAGTTGGTGGTTGATGAGTTTTATTTTTATTTAATTCATCTTGATGATCTTGTTCAGATATTGAAAGTTTATTGATCTTACCAAATGCTTCTTCAGCAGTAGTTGCAGGTGATGGTTGAGTTATTTGATCAAGTTTGCCTCCAACAAAATTCTTTACTGGTGTAATTGGACTAATCTTTAGATATGCTAATTTTGAGAATTGGTTTTGACATCTAAGAATTGCATAGATTAGGCGAGTATTGCTTTCATATTGATGTTGAAGTAGATTATTTAAAGACTCTAATAAAAAACCAACATATCTATAGTTATGGCTATTTGAAAATAAGAATCTAGGACCAGATAAATATTCGAAAAGCTTCATTAATTTGACACATGTTACCATTGATAGGTTTTTCATATATGGTGATAGGTTGGTAAGAATTGTTAAAACACATTCATAAATACTTTCAAGACGATCTGGTGTGTCAACTAATAATCTATACAAGACCATAATTACAAAGTCTGAATAAACTTGAGGCTGTACAATGTCAATATAGACCTTTGAGTTGAATGGTTTATTCAAAGAGATTGAGAAATCTCTTTCTCCACTTAGTACTAGTAAAATAAATGTACCAATTTGTACAATACCGTGTGTTGTTTGACTTTTTCTTCCTTCATCCATATATTGTAATATTGGTACTATAAATTCTGGTGAGGTTTCATAATTAACAATTGATTTTAAGAAATCCTATAAATAAAAATGGATAGATTAGTAATAATTTCGATAAAAATTTCCACAGAACAATATTCAACAGTAAATATAATGTATACTGGCAAAATAAAAGTGCTATTTTGTAAATTCTACATACATGATTATGTGAGATAAATCTCCAAAAGGTAATAAGTAAATCTTGATGAAGTTCTATTTTTTTAGTTGAGTTTGGTAGTTTGGTGTGGCTTGCAATGATTGGTAAATTCATAATTCTTTCAAAAGCATTAAAAAAGAATTTGAAATCTCTTACTCTTTTTAAAGTTTTGATATAGATTATAAATCTATTTTTGCATTCATGTTGTGGTAATTCGTTTGCTTTGCTTGATGATGAGGGTGTTTGTTTGTTTGAGGTTAGTAAATGGTCATCGATTGTATATGGGTCATAGGTTAGGAGAATATTTAAAATTTGTAAAGAAAGTTTTGAACATGCTTCGTGGTCATCAGCATACATAAGATGATTATATGGGATACCCCATCCGATAGGGTCATATGTTGAAAAAGTGTTGATGAGAGAGAAAAGTAATGTTTCAGTATAATAGTCTTGGGTGTTTGTGAACCAATCTAACCATTTGCTTTTGAAGCTGGAGACATTTTCTTGTGGGACATAAAGTTGTTCAGATAGACAAGAAATTAGACACTGTAAAACTGATAGACGATTAAGCCACATTTGTTTATTGGAAACAGTAGGTACATTGTCAATACCAAAACCTGCAACCCAACTGTATAATGGTGGAATTGAATCTGGTGATGTTTCTTTTGGACTCTTTAAACCTAAAGATTCTGATACAGTAAATCCAGGGAAGAATAAAAGGTCTAAAAGGCTATCCATTAATTTAATTGCTAAAGGTGTTTCGTCTAATAAAATTTCACTGTTTTCATTATTATTGATTTTTTTTGGTTCATTTATTTCTTTTTTTTCTTCTGTTTTTTCTTCTTTTGGTTGTTGTTCCCCTTCTTTTTTTTCGCTATCTTTTGGATCATTTTGATTTTCATTATCCTGTACAATATTTGTAGTTACTACCGGTGATGTTGAAATAGTTGCAGTTGGGTGTGATAAAGGTTCAATCTCTTGATTATACCAAAACAATCTATCAGAAAAGTCGTCACCTCCTTCGAATATAATGGGTATTATTCTTGATAAGTATGATAGAGATATCAATGTTAATTGGAAATCACCTTGTGTATTTTTTTCTCTTTGTATGCCTTTAACTAACACTAGTTGATTTACCAACTATTATTTTTAAAAAAAAAAAAAAAAAAAAAAAAAAAAAAAAAAAAAAATTAATTTATTAATATTTATCTTGTAATAAAATTTAAATTAATATATTGAAATTTATAATTTACTTTTTTAATAAAATTTGCTAAATTTTCTGGTCTTTCATTTTTTAATTTTTTAAAATTTTCAAGATAATTATCTTCATCTTGAATTGGTTGTGATAAAATTTTGTCCCAAAGATCGGACGAAAATGGTACTGTTTCTTTTTGGAGTTTATTAAAACTTGTAATAAACTCTTCTTTTGATGAGGCGCCACCCATATTAAATTATTTTATTATATAGAATAAGGTAAAAATATTTGATAAAAGATAAAAAAAAAAATTATATATTTAAGTATTTAGTAGTTTTTATTTTGTGTGTAATAAATTTTCAATGTAAAAATTTTTTTATTTAAATAAAAAAATAAATATATTATTATAAAAAAAATAATTACAAAAAAATGAAAAAAAATAATAAAAATTTTTGAAAAAATAAAAATACAAATAATTTATTTTAATTTTATTTTATTTTAATTTAATTTTTAATTTTTTTTTTGTTTTTTTGGGTGCTGACTATATATATACAAACCTATTCTTTTATTTTTTTTTTTCAACAATTATTAATTTATTTGTATTATAACCCCTTTAGGGTATGATAAATGGGTATATGATAAAAGATAATATCTTTAACTTTTATTATTACTATTAAAAAAGATATATAAATCAATGTGGTGGCTAATTAAGTGTAAATGTTAAAACGTATAAATTTGTTTTCAATTGACTCAATTTGATTATTTAATTCTAAATTAAAAAAAACTTTTTTTTTTTTTTTTTATTTTTTTTTTATTTTTTTTTGTTTTAAATTTAAATTTAAAATTTTTAAATTTTTTTATTTTTTTTTTATTTTTTATAAATTGCCATATTGAACATCATTTCTTTCTTTTAATTGTATTTTATTTTTTTTTCTATATATTCTAAAGTTAACTTTTTTTTTTTTTTTATAATATTAAAACCTTATTGTTTAAAGAAAGATAGAGAAACATGGCAACAACTTCAAATCAACCAAATGAAATTGTTAAAGAGTTAAATAATATTTTATTTAGATTTGCATTAATTGATACAGAGGCATCATATGAAAGATTTTTAGATCAGTATTTGGATGTTGTTATATCAAAATTAAATGCAAATGATGAGAGTGTAAAGAAAAAGGTTATGGAGGTATTAAGTAATATTAACAAAAGATCAATGGTCACATCAAATGTACAATTCCCAATCACAAAATTATTAGCACTTTACAACGATAATAATATGTCAATGGTGGTCAAGAGTTTTGCAATCATTTATATTGAAAAAGGTTTCAAATCATTATCATCAGACTCAAAAGTACCATATCTTTCAGAAATCGCAACAAATATTAATAAAATTAATCCAGTTCACCAAGATATATTTTGCCATATTATTCTATCTGTAAGTATTATTTTTTATAAAATTTAATTGTCTTTAAACAAAAACTAATATGTTTTTATTTTAAATTTTAAATTTTTTGTTATTTTATTCACCAGATTTTAATTTCCATTAATTTTAATAAAAATGATAAAGAAAAGTTAAATCAACTATCATTTTTGAAAAACGAAAGTGATTCAAAAATTCTTTTATCTTTCTTTTATGATTTTCTAATTACTCCACCAATTCCAAAAGATTCCAAAGAGTAAGTAAAAAAAAATATCACTTTTTTAAAAAAAAAAGACAATATTAATACTTTATTTTTATTTTATTACAGAATTCCACCATGCCATAGTTTAAATTCATTACATAGAATTTTAAGTAAAACTTTAAATAAATATGATTTTAATCAATTATGCGAAAGAAAGATTGCAATTTTAAATTTAATTACATGCGGTGTTTTAGATGATACAACAATATTTCCATTGGTTTTAGTTGCAGCCGTAGATTCAATTCAAGATGTTCAAAGGAAAGCAGAAGATTTGTTAAGAAGATTATCAAAGGTTAAGCTTGATGATAGAGCATTGATTGATCGTTTGTTTACAATTTTTATTGGTACTCCCGCAGCCACTGGTACACCAACACCAGCACAACTCGATGCTGCAAGAAAAGAAGCTTCACCATTATTAAAAGAAAAAATACTATATTATTTCTGTAAATCAATTCCTGCCGCCAATAGTTTCCCTCTTACACTTAAAGTAATTTTCGATTGTATTTATGGTCAATCAACAACTATGAAGTTAAAACATGCTGCAATGTCATTTGTCCAATGGGTATTCAGACATGCCACTGATAAAGAGCTTCACAGTATGTCCAAAACAATATACGATGGCTTATTAAAATTAATTGAAGAGCTTGACAATAGTGGTGCTGTTGGAAATAAAGATATCAATGATTTGAAATCATTCACCTACTCATCATTAGGTTTGCTCTGCAAGAGAGAAAAGGATTTATTCAAGAGTAATGTTGGTTTGGTTGGTAGACTATTAAAAAAGATGACAACAGAAGAGGCAATGGTAGTTAGTTCAATTCAAGATGCTCTTATTATGATCAGAGAAGCTTTTATTGATCCTCCAAAAGAAATCGGTGACCAGTTAATCGATATTTTAATGTCATTCGTTCAAGGTGAATCTTTCGATTATCAAGTACGTACTGTAGTTGTTCAATGGGCCCAACATTGCTTTTCATTTGAGGACGTACGTTCTAGATATATTAGTTTGATATTTTCGGGAGATGTAAGACCAGATATTAGAGACGAAAGTAGAAGAGGTTTGGAACCTTATATCCATCAAGGTAATATGTTAGCCTTGCCACCAACCGATAAAAAACCAGTTTACCCAGACTTTAAAGAATTATTGGATTTTATTGTAGAAAAGCGTTTAGAATTAATTAATCCAAAACAAAAGAAACCACAACAGCAAGGTGTTCTCCAAGTGGTTGGTTTTTCTGCTTTGGCCTATGAAAATATGTTAGTTTTACTTAGAACTTGTTTAAGACGATCTGCTTTATCTAAAAAACAAATTCCATCAAGATATTTATCAACATTAAATAAAGAAACCATCGATAAATACCAATCATTCATCGAGATTGGCTTGGAAACTAAAATTGGCGATGACGTTCAAATGGTTAGTGCAATTTCACTTTTACAATTAATGAATCTTAACGAACAATCAATTCCTTCCTTCCTCAACAAGTTAGCACTAATTGATAAACTCTTAAAATCTAGCAAACCAACATTCAAGGATCTTTACTCTAAAATGGTCGGTTTATTATCAATTCATTTCTCAAAAGAACAATTATCAGAAATGGTTCAATCATTTATGAAACAAGTAGAAAATTCAAACGATGTTATCGAAATCTATGGCCCAATGTCATCAATTGCCCATATGGTTGCAAATCATTCAAAAAATCATTTGGTTAAAGACGATTGTCCAATCAATAATGATTTTATAAAGAAATTCGTTGATATTATTTTCAAGAGATTTATGGATCATAATAACCAAGCCACTAAAGTTTGTGCTATTACCTCGATTGGTTTATGTGGGGTTTACTCACCATTACCAATTGATGATGCTGAAAAGGGTGTCATTTTAACAAAGCTTATTCAAGTTGTAAAGAATACAGCATCAAGTGAACGTAATATTTCCGAAGCCGCCATTCATTCTTTAGGTTGGATTTGTTATGGTGAAAATAAATTTGACGAAATCTCAAAATTCAAAAAGCAGGTTATCGATTCACTCTTTGAATTAGTAAATAACAAGAATGAAGAGTTACAATTTACAATTGGTGAAACTCTATCATTAATTATTGGTGGCAATAGAATGAAGCAATCAATTTTCCCATTTTCACCATTTACAACAGAAGAAATTCAATTAGAAATCAAACAAGAAGAAAATGAATTAAGTGATGGTGATACTGATATGAAAGATGATGAAGGCATCCAACAAGATAAATCTGTTAATGAAAAAGAACAAAATAACATTATTGATATGCTTAATAGAATTTTATCAACCTATTTCTCGGATAGACAATCGCCAATAACTAGATGTTCAGCTGGCATTTGGATGGTCTGCTTATTAAAGAACTTTGGCAAATTAGAAATGGTTCAAAGTTTATTACCAGTAATTCAAAATGGCTTCATCTCATTGCTTTCAGATAACAACGAGCTAACTCAAGATATTGCCTCAAAAGGTATTACTTTAGTTTATGACTCATCAACCGATCCAAAGTTTAGAGAATTTTTAGTTTCAAATCTTTCCAAAACCCTTTCAGGTAAACCTGCACAAAAAGCACCAGGATCATCCGAGCTTTTACCAGAAGGTGCTGTTACCAACAAAACTGGTTCAGTTTTAACTTATAAAGAATTAACATCAGTAGCAAATGATTTGGGTAAACCAGATATGGTTTATAAATTAATGAACCTTTCATCTCATCATCAAGTTTGGAACTCAAAGAAAGGTGCATCGTTTGCAATCGTATCACTAGCATCAAAAGCCAAAGATGAATTAGCTCCATTGCTCCCATATTTAATACCAAAGATTTATAGATTTGTCTATGATCCAAACCCAAAGATGGCATCATCAATGAGCAACATTATGAATGCATTGATTGATAGTAAAGATATTTTCCCTCAATTCTTTGTTCCAATTATGAAAGAGATTATGCAAGGTATGGGTACAAATGCATGGAGAGTTAGAGAAGCATCATGTTTAGCAATTCCAGATACAATTACACATGCCACACCAGAAGAAATTATGCCATTCCTTGAAGAGCTTTTCTATATGAGCTTTAGAACTTTGGATGATATTAAAGAGTCGGTTAGAAAGGCTGCAGAAATTTCAATGAAATCAATTGGTAATGTTAGTGCACGTCTTTGTGATCCTAGCTATACATCAACAAGCAAGGCCAAAGAAGTTCTCAAATTAATTTTACCATTCATTCTTTCCAAAGGTATAAATAACGACTCAAATGATGTTAAACAATTCTCAATTCAACAATTGGTTAGAATTTCAAAGAGTTCAAAAGATTTATTAACTCCATTCATACCAGATATGATCACAGTAATTTTGGAATCCCTTTCAAATTTAGAACCAGCTTCATTCAACTATGCTTCATTCCATGCCGATTCATTAAATGTTTCACAAGAGCAAATCGAATCAATGAGAGTTGAAATCTCTAAAAGTTCACCATTAAATGAAATTTTAGAAACCTGCCAACGTTATATAGATGACAGTAATATCTCCCAAGTTTTAGCCAACCTCAATCAATTGGTTCAATTTAGTGTTGGTATTGTTACAAGGGTCGGTGTTGCTAAATTTATTTCAAATTTATTCCAGTCTAAAACCGCACCAATTAACGATTTACCAGAACAGTCTCTAGTTAAACTCTTAAATACAATGTTCCCATCAATCAGCAATGATAGATCACCGGTTGTAAAGAGATATTTCATCACTGCCATTTCATTTGTATTAAATAAATGTCCAAACAAAGTTGTAAATAGTACTTTAGAAAAAATTTTCCAAATGGTTTCAGTAGATGTTGACTCTGATAAATTGGAAGGTAATTTACAAACCGTTGGTCTTTTATTTAGAGAATTTTATAAGAATTGTTCAGTTAAAATATCAACATTCCAAAAAGATGTTATTCCATTCTTATACTTCTACAAATCTCATCCAAAGAAAGAAATTGCAGATATCTATAAACAAATTTGGGATGACAACTCAATTGGTTCAATAAAGATGTACACTGATGAAATTATTAAATTAATTTCAACCAGTATGAACTCTGGTACATGGTCAACTAAAGAACAAGCAGCACTTTGTCTCTCTGCGTTAACCGATGATATTAGAAATATGATTGATACCCATTTACCAATGGTACTCTCATTAATCGTTCAGGGTTTAAAAGGAAGAACTTATCCAGGTAAGGATTCACTTTTAGCATCCCTCTCAACTCTATCAACAGTTTGTTGTAATACCATTCGTAACAATAGTTTTGAAAATATTCCATCACCAACTGAAATTGTAAATATTATGTTCCAAGAATGTAAAAAGAATGATTTAGAATACAAGAGAAAAGCAATTACAAATCTTTCAATTATATTAAAATCATTTAATGATATTGATATCTTTGAAAAAGTTAAAGAAGAGTTTTATCCATTCATATTTATAGAGCAACAAGATGAAGAAATGAAAGAGGCAGGCGGCGAAAAAGAAGAAATTGACAAAGAGGAATTAAAATTAAAACCATTAAAAGTTTTAATTAGATCTCAAATTTATAATGTTGTTGGTGAATCATTTAGAGCAGCATCAAAAGAAACAAAATTAAACAATTTAGATTTAGGCAGTAAACTTTTAGGTAATCTAGTTTCAAGTCTATGGAGTGAACAGGTTTCAATTCTCAATGCACTTTCATGTTTCTTTAAATCAATCTGGACTCTAGATGGTTTAGACATTGACTGTGATAATCAAAAACAACAAAACGATTTCTATTTAAGCCAAGACAAAGTAAACTATTTATTCAAAACTATTGCAGAAACTTTAGATTACACTAAATTTCAAGTTGTTAAAAAATCATGTTTAGATTTATTAGAAGATCTTGTAGTAGTGGGTGGTTCAAAATTCAACATTATTAAAATTCAATTTGATAAAATTAAACTATTAATAACCGAAGCAGCTAAAAAAGATAACACAATTGGAGTTCAAGTTGATAAATTATTGTTATTATTAAAATAAAATAAAACATTATTTCTTATGTATTTAAATTTTATAAATTTTTATTAAATTTTTTTTTATTTATTTTCATTTTAAAATTATTTTTTTTATTCAAAAACCCATAAATAAAGAAATGTTTATTTTTTTGTTGTATAACTTTTAAAAAACTTCTCTTTTTTTCAAGAATTCCTTACAGCAATTGACATTTTCCCTCCCAAAGAAAAAAACTGAATTCTGTTCTTTCTTTTTTATTTCTGTTTTTTTTTTAATTTTTTTTTTTTTAATTTCCAAATATTTTTTTTCAGAATGGCAAAACCTCACCACTTTTTACAAATTACTAGAAAATACTCTTATCAACTTCCCAAGCACCTATTTATAATCTTTACACATAACCAATAACTCCTGCTGCTTAAAAATTTTATTTAATAAACATTGTTTTTTTTTAAATTAAAAAGAGTTTGAAGTAATAACTTGTTAAACTCTGTTGATAAAAACCAAAAAACCGAATATCAAAATAAAACTTTGAAAGTTATTGATAATTTATTTGATTCCTTGGCAACTGTGGGTTCTTCTTTAACAAAATAGAAAAGTAAAAAATTAATAAGTTGTTCAACAAATATATTTTTTTATAATTTTATAATTACAGTTAAAGAAGAAGGAATCAAATAAACTATCTATAATTATCAAATGTTTTTGATATCCGGTTTTTTGGTTCTTATCAACCGAGTTTAACAAGCATGTTATCATTTCAAAATCTTTTAACACGCTTGGCCATCTGCACTGTTCTATAAAAACTTTAAGCCCAATTGTAATGGAAAATTTTAAATTTTTTTGCTTTTTTTTTTAGTAAAATTTTTAATAAAATTTTTATTAAAATTTTTATTATAATTTTTAATGTTTTATTTTTTTTTCACAAAATTTTATGTTTTTTTTACTATTTTTTATTAAAATTTATAATTTTTAATGTTTTATTTTTTTTTTTTTTTAGATTTTGTTAATAATTATTATAATTATAGAAACACAAACCTAAATTCTTCATTAAAAAATGTTTATTTTTGAAAAATAACAAATTTTTACTATTTTGATGTCCAAGCATGGTAATTCCGAAAGTTAGTAGCTTCTTTTTGGTGTTAGAAACTAACGAATTGGCGTTAGTAACCAGTAATAATAATAATAATAGATGATGGTACAGCTGAAGATCAAGGCGATGGTACAGCTGAAGATGGGGACGCTAAAGGTAATTTTATTAGCGAACAACGAGGAAATAAAAGTGGAATTGGAAATTATTTATGTTTGACTCTAACTCTGATAAAACTAAAATCAAATTTTAAATGTGTAATTGCATGGATATTTTTTTTAAACAAATAAATACTATTCATATCTTACCATTAGAAGAAAGGTTAGCACGTGGTCACTGGTTTGATAAAAACGAATTCAGAATTTCAAACCGTTTTACTGTATTTATAGATGGTAATCTAGCTTCAACAAGCAGCGCACCTACAAAACAATATAGGACCAATATGCATAGTGGCAAAGAAAAATAGAATGTATATCAATAATTGGTATTGTCGATGGATTAGGAAAGTTTCAATATCTTTTTCATTCTTTCCAAGGATCTATACCTGATCAGATATCATTAAATTTTCTTAGTTTAGTAGAGGTTGTTGGGTTGCTTACAGATGAAGAATTTTTGGTTGCTGATGCGGCATTTCCTAAAATTAGGCAATACTGTGAAAATGTTATATTTCCAAAATCCAAATGTGAATTAAACTAAAGTATTTCAAGATATCGCTCCTTAATAGAAAGAGCTTGGTGTCAATTAGAAAAATGGAAAATACTTGAAAAGTATAGACTAATGTGGACCGAGGACCAATCGGTTGTAGAAGTCTGCGAAAAACATAACCAAATTATGTTTATAATTGCATCTATTTATAATATTTTCAATAAACCTCTTGGTGAACCATCATCATTACCTTCAGTCTATAGTGGGATTTATTGTAGGAAACCAAATCTCAACTACCATAGAGAAATATTCAATCATTCCGATCAACTCATCGATTTATACCTCGAAAATAAAATTTCCCAACAAAATATTTTTTTTTTTACCAAAATTTTTAAAAAAAAAAAATTTCACACGAAGTTAAAAAAAAAAAAAAAAATTTTCATTTCTAAATTTTTTTTTGTCAAGACCCCCTTGTTAAAACATTTTTTTTTTTAAATTAAAACATTGTTTTTTTTTTTTTAAAATTTAAAGGTATTTCAGGTCAAGAAATTAAACAAGATGGTATTGTTGAAAGAAAAACCACATCTGGAGGCAACCATATAATTTTTATGAGCATTAAAGGTAGAAATGCAATAAATCCAGACAATATTACATTTTCATTTTACCAACTTTATTCAAAGTTTAAACTAGAGGTTGAAAATTATCTTTATCGTTATCCTTTTTTGTATCACTTGGAAGATTTAAAAAAAAAGGATAAAAGTGGATAAAAAAAAAAAAAAAAAAGATAAAAAAAGGATAATAATTCATAAAATTATAAAATATTTTCAATTTTATTTTAACAATTTTTTTTTTTTTTATTACAAAAACTTTACTTTCAATGGTAGAATCTTTTATGGGTAACATTAGAAGGTTTAAGAAATTATTTTATATTAATTAACTAGAATGAAAAAAAAAAAAAAAAAAACTTTTCTTTTAAAAAAAAAAAAGAAAGAAAAACGAAAGATTAAAATTAAGCATTGTAAAACCTAGTGTTGATGCATTCTAGTTATTTTTTGGGTCTATTTATAGAGCTAATTTAGAAAATGTGTAGAATAATATGTTTTTTTTAAAAAATAAAAGTAAAAAAAAAATTCAACCTTTTTTTTTTGATTTGGATTTGTTGAGGTTTTAGTTTAACTAAAATAAATACCACTTTAAAAATAATTATAATTATGAATACGTATATTATAATTTAATATTGATTATTGTTTTTGGAAAAAAAAAAAAAACAATAATTCGACCTTTTGTTTTGGTTTTGTATTGGTTGAGGTTTTTATTAATAAAAAAGAAAATAATATTAAAAACGAAAAAATAAAAACAACAATGATTGGTGTTATAATGTTTTTCATGATTTATTTTTATAGTTTTTTTTTTTTGAAATATAATATTGTCTTTTTATTATTAAAGAGGTGTGAATATAAGCATCAACACAAGTGAAAAATAGCACCATAATATTAGTGTTAGTATAAATATGGTTTTGTGAAGGTTTTTGAAAGGAAAATAAAAATATTATAATTAATAAAATTCAAAATTTAAAAATTAAAAAAAAAAATTTTTTAAAAAAGCGCGGATTATAATTAAAAAAAAACTAAAAAAAAAAATATATTAAATGTTTAAAAAAAATTAAAAAAATTTTTAAAAAAAAATTAAAAGAAAGGCGTAAAAGAGAAAAATTGTGATGGGTGTGTTTGTGCTGTTATTTTACATCTATTTGCAAATTTTAAAAATGGATAAAAATGAATAATTTTTTTTAAAAAAAGAGATAATTTTTTTTAAAAAAAGAGATAACTTTTAAAAAAAATTTTTAAATGAATAAGATAACGATAATGGGTAAAAACTGAGAATAAAGATAATTTTTAATCTCTAGTTTAAACATTGTTTTTTTTAAATTCAACATTGTTTTTTTTTTTAAATATAAACATTGTTTTTTTAAAATTTAAATATTGTTTAAACTTTGAATAACGCTACACAAAATTTAAATTTATTATAATAATAATTTATAATTTAAATAAACATTATTATTCCAAAAAATCCAAAAATCTCCAGGAAGAATGTTTTTGGATTCGATCCTGAAATATAATTTTCGAACTCTAAGTGATGAAGTTCGATACTCATAAAAACAGAAGTCACAAACCGAACTTAAAAATTTCTGTAAAAAAAAAAAAAAAAATTTTTTTGGAATTTTTTTTTGAAATTTTTTTTTTTTTATTCACAAAATTTTTTGATTTTTTTTTCAAAAATCTTTTTTTTTTTCAAATTATAATTTATAATCAAAACCCCAACTTTAAAATGAATCAAGAAGTTAATAAAGTCCAAAATATTGTTGAAAGTAAAAATTCAAGACAAGATGATCGTATAACAACCTTGGAGAAAATGAAATGCGATGAATTAGAATCAACAAAAAAAAGTGAAATGGATATCCCAACAGAAATCCATATTGTTACAAGAGAATTCTCCCTAAACATGCCTAACATCACAACTCCAGGATCAAACAAAACTAAACCAGATTTTGATGAAAAAGAACCAATTACCAAAAACTGATGAATAAATATTATTCTTCGTTGGAACACCTATATAATTTAATATTTTTAATAAAAATATAATATTATATCACCCATAAACTTTCTTTTATCTTTTTGGATGGCATCATAATGATGTTTTACTCTCATAAATTTTATATTAAAGATCATCGTTAATGAAAATAGTTTTATCACACAAATCATATTAAAAGGTATTTTATTATTTATTATTTGTCTGTTTGTTTTGGTTGTTTATATGTTTTCCAGATAGAAGATTACCCACTCTTTTAAATTTACAGTTTTCACCAATTATCGTTAGCATATACTTTTAAAAATTTTTAGATAATTATAGTGATTAAAAATTATTGTTATTTTCAGCTTTCACCAATTATCGTTAGTGTAGTATTCATTTAAAAATTTTTAGAAAAAAACTATCTCTTTTTTTGAAAAAAAATTATTCATTTTTATCCATTATTAAAATTTGCCAATTGATGTAAAAAAACAGAACAAACACATCATAATTTTTCTTTTTCGTATAGCTCAGGATCGAGGTTTAAAACTAGGATTGATTATTTTTTTTGGATCGATCCTGAGCTATACTTTAAGTAATAATAATTTTTAATCTTTCGTTTTTCTTTCTTTTTTTTTTTAAAAGCAAAGTTTTTTTTTTTTTTCATTCTAGTTAATTAATATAAAATAGTTTCTTAAACCTTCTAATGTTACCCATAAAAGACATCGTCTAAAAGACTCTACCATTGAATTGTGTATTCTTCTCAAAGAATGGAATCGTCAAATTCAAGATGTTGTATATGATATTCTCAATAAAAAAAAGGATGGAAGAGTTCACAACAAGCGTGATAATAATAATAAAAAGAGTGATATCTGTATGATCCAAAATACTTAATCAATTTTTTATTTACTTGTATATTATATATTATAATTGATTCAATGGTAGAGTCTTGAGTAATACGTATATTATAATTTAATATTGATTATTGTTTTTTTGGAAAAAAAAAAAAAAAAAAAAATAATAATTCGACCTTTTGTTTTGGTTTTGTATTGGTTGAGGTTTTTATTAATAAAAAAGAAAATAATATTATATTCTTTTTTAGTATTTAAAATGATTATATTTTTAGATTAATGGTGATGCACGAAAAAATAAAAACAACAATGGTTGGTATTATAATGTTTTTTTTATTTAAATAAAAATATGATTTATAGTTTTTTTTTTTTGAAATAAATATTGTCATTTTATTTTTAAAGAGGTGTGAATAAGCATCAACACAAGTGAAAAATAGCACCATAATATTAGTGTTAGTTTCAATATGGTTTTGTGAAGGTTTTTGAAAGGAAAATAAAAATATTATAATTAAAATTCAATATTTAAAAAAAAAAAAAAAAAAAAAAAATAAATAAAATGTTTAAAAAAAATTAAAAGAAGGGGAAAAGAGAAAAATTTGATGGGTGTGTTTGTGCTGTTATTTTACATCTATTTGCAAATTTTAAAAATCGATAAAAATGAATAATTTTTTTTAAAAAAAGAGATAATTTTTTTTAAAAAAAAAGATAACTTTTAAAAAAATTTTAAATGAATAAGATAACGATAATGGGTAAAAACTGAGAATAAAGATAATTTTTAATCTCTAAATTTTAAACATTGCTTTTTTTTTAAATTTAAACTGTTTTTTTAAAACCAAAACATTGTTTGTTCTGTTTATTGTTCCTCAGCTTGATTTTGTTCGACTCGTTGGATTTGTTAACAATCGTGGTTTTCATGATATTGAATTTGGTTTATTTCTTCAGCTGGATAGTTTTCATGTTGTTGATAGGTTACTGTGGATGATGATACTGGTGGAGTATTTGGTAATTATAATTGTATCCCTCTTCACTATCGATTGGGTGTTTCTCAAGAGTTAAACCGAGGACAACTGGTTAAGGTTCTTAAAAATAAAACAATATTATTCACTTCTTCAAAAACTAATAAAAAAGGTGAATAATTCATTTTATTATTATAAAACAAAAATAACCAATAATTACTAAAATATTAAATAGTAACTATAATCAATAATTAAGTCTATTTTTATTTTTTATTTTTCTTAACCCTATTAAATTTGTTGATTCTTAAATCTTTAATAATACTTTGAATAACCAAAAAAAAAAAAATCATTTTTATTTTAATTTTAAAAAAATGTTTATTTTATATTTTTTTAATTTTTTTTTTTAAATTTTTAAATTTTTTTTTCTGTGTTTAATCATTATAAAACAATTTATATTGGGTATTAAATAGAATTAAAATGAAGATCATTAAAACCACACCAAATGAATTGGTTTTAATATCAAGAAATAGATTAAAAGAATGGTCATTAGCATTTGCAATTTCGTCAATTGGTTTATTACCCTTTTTGCATCAATCTGATGAATTATTTATAAAGGCAGCTAAAGTAGTATTCTTTATTACATTTGTATTAGTTGGGTTATTGGGTATCCATGAAGAATATAATATAGAATTTAATATTAAAAAGAGAAAAGTTTTAATGGAATATAAAAATATTTTAGAATTAATAGCAAGACAAGAAGGAAGAGTTATGGTTTTAGATTTAGATCAAGTAAGAAGTTCATCAGTTCAAGAGGTTAAAGAAGGAAAAAAGACATTATTTAAATTAGTATTGGATTATTCTGATGGTCTTAAAATTGGGCTTACAGAAACTTATTTTTATTATCCAGATCTAATAGAATCAATAAAGACTGATATTAACAAATGGTTAACTGAAAACAATGTAGTAAGTAACAAAGATAAAGATTTATATGGTTCTGATGATGAAGATGATGATGATCAAGAAGGTGGCGCCAATCAATTCGAATCTGACTCTAGTGATGAAGATATTCAACAAAAACAAAACATAAAGAAAAGAACAAATAAAGTTAAATAAAACACAAACAATTAATAAACAACTTATTTATTTCTAAAAAAAACCTGTATTTATTTTATAAGTATATTTCTATTTTTATTTAATTTTGTCTATTTAAAAACCAATTGATCTTTTTGTAACTTTTGAACGAACACCACGTCTAAGTGATTTAAATTTAATATAATCTTTAACTTTTTTATTTGATGATTGTAAAACTCTTTCTTCCTTTTCCTTTCTTTCATTTTCAAGTTGATCTTTATTTTGTTTTTTAAGATTAAAAATATATTCGTCGACGCTGTCTACTGAAATTGCTTTAATATGTGATGGGTTTTCTTTAGCTCTTCTAAGCTCTCTCTTCTTTCTGATTCTTTCTTTTCTTTCTTTTTCTTGTTGTTCTAAAATTAAAAGTTTTCTTTCATTCTCTTTTTCTGTTTTTACTTTTTTAATTAAATATCTATAATAAATGAATTTTATAAATGAATTGTCGATATTAGTAAAAATAATTTTATATTTAAAAATTAAATTTTAACTTACTCTTTATTAGTTACAGCTTTTAAAAAGTCCATATCGAGTTCTTCAATATCTTCTTGTTCATCGTTGTTATCATCATTTTCACTTTCATTTTCACTACCCTCTTCGACTTGTTCAACTTCAATTTGATTTTCTTCTACATTTTCGGTATCCTCGTTAATAGTTTCATCTTCAATACTTTCATCAAATTCAACATCTTGATCAGTAATTTCTGTTTCTTGCTCTTTAACTGGAGTATTTTTTTTTGGTGTTAATTTGGCTGGTGTATTTTTAGTTCTTTTAATGTGTTGAT